ATGGCAGAGGGGCTCCAGCCCTGGGTTCAACCCTGCAGCCTTCCCTCCTCTGGCATTCCCCGCCTTTCGGGCTGTGCTGGAAAGGGCTGACAGGAGGATAACCTCCCACAAAAGCAGCGCTAATGAGGGATGCTCGTGCCCGGCAACAGGGGATGGCAAACACGGCAGCTCGGCTTTTTCAGCGCTGATTCCAGGGCTTTGTCTTTCCAGCTCTGGAGAGTCATCACGGTTTTTTCTCCCCTTTCCACGCCGCCCCCTCTCTGGTGACTCGAGCACCAGCCTTCGGTGAAGACCCACAGCAATCGAAAGAGACGAGCCACGTTGTCACGAGCAACGTCTTTACACGATACTTTACAGAGAGGACAGCACTCGGCAAATACCATCTTTCAGCCCATTCCCGTTACGGAACGGCAATTCCCCATGGAGGGGGCTCCCCATTTAAAAAAAACAGAGACCTCCTGCAGCAGGTTGCCTCTACAAAGCAGGATGGGCAGGAAAGCCAGTTGCTCCACTACTTTTAAGTGCTCTTACACGAGAGGCAGCACCTCGACTCACGCAGCCCCTCCGCGGGTGCACCCTTCCCCTCCACCCCCCGACAGTCTGGGGGTGCGCGGAGCATTTGGCCGATGGAAATCCTGGGGGTGCTCTCACCCCCCAGCTGTTCCAGCCGCTGCTCCTGGGTCCCACCGGTACGATCTATCCAGGAGTCCCCCGGCTTCTTTTTTAGGAGCAATCTAAGAATTGAAATAAACCCCATGCCGGTACATAATAACACAAAATAAGTGTGATTTGGGTGCAGTCCCACCAGTTTGCTCGATGCCCACGAAGCGGAGGTGGTGTGAGTAATCAAAGTCCTTTTCTTTTTCCTGAGAGATAGGAATAGGAAGGGGCCAGTGGCAAGCAGATGCTGCAAACACAACAGGCTTGGATTTCTAACTTGGATTTCCGAAACTCTCCTGTTAGGAACAGCCTGGGCTCACCAGAGCCTGGTGCTGCCCCGCAGCTCGCCCGCAGGCGGCGGTGGCAGGGCCGAGACGGGGAAGCCGGGCGCTTCTCCCCGACCTCGCTACTGCTTGGGCATGGTGAAGTCCCACGCCGTCTCCTGGGCGCATTTCCACATCGCCCGCATCAGCCGCGTGAAGCCCATGTCCTTTGGCTTCTCCAAGCCTCTCATAAGGCGCTGCTTCATGATGGCAACAAACTCCTTGTTGCTCAGCTCGCCGTTCCCTGCGAGGAGAAAAAGAAATAAATACCGGAATCATAGAATCCTGGAATAGTTTGGGTTGGAAGGGACCTTAAAGCTCATCCAGTTCCAACTCCCCTGCCATGGGCAGGGACACCTTCCACTAGACCAGGTTGCTCCAAGCCTCATCCAGCCTGGCCTTGGACACTTCCAGGGATGGGGCATCCACAGCTTCTCTGGGCAACCTGTCCCAGTGCCTCCGCTTGACGTGACTTAGGAAATTCTGGGAGCATGGGGTAACAGAGCACAGATTTTCCTTAACAGAGTAGAAGGGAAGATTCATTAAAGTAACCCAGTGAGGCTACTGAGAATTATCTCACACAAGTTTCTGTTAAAAATATCATTACAGTAGATTGGGGCAAATTTTATTCCGCAGTTGCTGAGCCACCAATACATTAAAAGCTCTGGGATGTTTGTTTAGGGCGCTGGTTAATTGGAGGGGACGGCAGCAAGCCACGGCACAACCGACAGCCTGGTGCTTATCTGCTGAGGGGCTGACGCCTCCGGCCATGATGCCCCACGTATCCCGTTGCCCGTTTTGCTCCCCTGCCTATGGCGCACATAGTGCTGGTTTTAGGTTCCGGAGAGCAGCACAGGAAAGCAACACACTTTTGGGCACAGAAAAAAATATGAGGGATATCAGCTCTCAAGAAACAAACCCACCAGTGCCATCGGTTCCCCAGATCACAGGGGAAAGCATCTCTCTGGCTGATACTGGGAACCACGTAAGAGGAAGGAGATTGTTCCGTTGAGACCTCTTTTTCCTGCCTTTTTGCTATCATGGTAGGTTTTGACAGGTTTGCTATCAAAATACTTAGCAGATTCTCCTATGAGAGGATGCAAACGAAGAATATTTGGCTGTGCTTCTGTTTACTCTAATCTCTGGCTTGAGGATTGCATCGGGAAGTGGCACTGAAGCACGGAGAAAAATAAAACAAGAGCTGCAACCTTCAAAAGGTGCCAAGCAGCAGGTGGGGCTGAAACCAAGGGGGACATCAAGGAATAAAATAACTGAAGATTTTTATCTTTTTAAAGGTTCATATTTATATTAGAAAGCAAACAACTGTGTATTTAAGCATCACTGCTGCCACTCAGAGCTGCCAGCTCACGGTGACTGTGCTGGAGATGCAGGGCACCAGCAAGGTCTCCGGGTTTGGCTTGATCGTTTTGGGCAAACGCAGAATTTTGGCGCTTTCCAAGTCTGAATCACTGCCATCATCCCCTGGTGGCAAAGGCTCCCCTAATTCCCATTAAATCAACACAAGACCGCTCCAGCGTGGCAACAAGCTACCACAAAGCGCTCGCATCCTCTGTAGGCCAGCAAAGCGACGAGCTTCCCAGCAGGGCACAGAGCTGCCACTCATTAATTAAGCTGGTATTTGTCCAGGACTTTGGAGATAACAAAGTACCAGATAGGCTCATTTCCAATACTGGAGCACAATAGCTCATTTTGTTACACAAAATAGAGTTTTGAGGGGGAAAAAAACCCAGCTGCGTAGCAAGGTGTGCGTGCCAAACGCTTGCATCCAGTGCTTTAGGATCAACATCTTGGAAGCTGGGTACCACGAGACACCTCTCCTAGAAGGGCAGGAGCATCAGCACGGCCCCACGGCCGAAGAGCGAAGGCCATGGCAAGCTGTCATGGCTGGCATCGTCTCCCCCTGTGTTCCCCCCCACCCCGGTCGAGGTCAGGGTCACTCACCATCGCAGTCGAAGAGCGCGAAGACCACGTCGCACACGTGGTCGGAGAGCTCCACCTTGGCCACCGTCCTGGCCACTTGCTGCATGGTCACTGCAACGGAGGGAGGGCGCAAGGTTAGCGAGGTGTCGGGATCTGCAGCGGACGCGGGCAGAGGAGCGGAGAACTCTTGTTCCTCCAGGGAAAACTGCCTTTATGGAAACGTGTCACGTTCCAAGAGGCTTGAAATGAGCTTTGCGCCCAGCCTGCTCGACACCAGGCTCCTCAAAGCCTTTGCCAGGCGGGGCGTGGAGCGGCTGGGGGCGGAGGTACCCGCGTGGTCAAGATCAACATTAAAACCACCGAGATGCGACGGTTTGCTTTCCTCCCTTTGGTTACAGAATAGGAAGAAGAGCCAGCACTACAGCAAACACCAGGTGGGAAACCTCTCCTGACGGGCTCCATCAACAAGGCAACTCCTTGTGACGGCACTGCAAAGGTGATACTCTACGGAACAACTATTCCAACAGGCTGGGGATAATAAAGAGCAGTTTTCCTGGGTTTCCAGCAAACCAAACCCATCCACCCTCTCCCCGCGACAGGGTCTGCAGCCAGCAGGCAAGGTTAACCTTGCAATAAAATCTTGCTACTTCCCAGATACTCCCTAAAGCAGAAGGGCTTTGCGCGACCGTGTACGAAGGTAAAGCACCGCCCTGAGAAGTCCGACCCCAGGAAACCCCGTCCAGAGAGATTTTGTGCGGCGGCAGTGAGCCCCACGGCACCTGGGGCGGACGTTCAGCTGCGGAGCTCCCCTTCAGCAAGGGGAAAGAGGCAAGAAAGCCTCTTCTTTCACCCACAGCATCCTTCGGAGTTCATGCCCTCTGGTCTCTTCGCAGAGCTGTTGGCCCTTCAGAAATTGTGATGAGTTATGTGTCAGAAAGGACAAAAATAAGTACCCAATCTATACCGCAACCAGAGTAACGAGAAACTGCACAAAGTGTTTCTAATAGGATTTTTAGGGTTTTTCCCATGGATGTTCAGATTATTGGTTCCTTTCACCCCATTTCTGCTCCTCAGAGTGAGGTTTGGGGTTTTTGGAGAGGAATCCACAGCCACCATTCATTCCTTTTCCCCTTTAAAATCCCACCTTTTAGTAAATAACGCAGGAAAACACTGAAATTAAACAGAAGGTGGATTAAAATATATACAAAACTCAAGTAGGCACCCGCTGTTTCCCTGTAAGTATTCTTTTTGAGTTAAAATCCTTTCCTAGGTGAGAGATGTAGCTCTGGCCTGCAGTTATTACTCTCTGTTTCAGTTCTGGCACCGTAAGTCAGGATACGGCCGCTGCTTCCGTGCGTGTCCGGCTGGCAGCCAGAGCCTGCTTCGGGGAGGGCAGAGGCAATGTAATCATTAAAGAAAACTGACGTTCATTTCATTCCCCAGCCTGACGCCCGAACCTCACCAACCGAGCCGTGCGGAGGCCGCACGTCTCTCCCAGCCCGCCCATGCCAACCAGGCTGCGGAACGTAGCACGTCACGCAGGCGGCACAGCTCTGGAAAAAACCTTGGATAGATCGAACACCACGAACGCAAAGCGCCAGCCAACGCTGGAGCTGAACAGAGGATGGCACAGTCCTTTTTACCAAGACAAACCCCCTGCCTCTGGATTTGAGATACGCCTTCACAAAAGGCGCCTTTCTCCTCCCCAATTAGGCAATGCTGAGTTCCCAAACATGTCCTGGGTCCAGCAAAACGTGCCCTGTAACTCCCACCTGCCACACACATGCTGCTGTGGGGCTTCAGTAACGTGTAAAGCTCAAAAAAAAAAAAAAAAAAAAAGAGGTTTAGGTCAAAATAAAAACCAGTTTAGATAAACTTCGCTTTTTTTCCTCCTTTTAAAAAATGTAAATCTTCTTTAAAGGTGCTCAACCGATACCACCCTCCCCTCCCGGTGCCCTGGGTACCCTCCTACCGAAGGAGTCATTTGCTAGAGCCTTATAAAAAAAAAAAGGCAGAATGATTTCTTTAATTATGTCATTTTTTCTGCTGTGCTTTCACTCCCCTCCTTCAACCTCTACAGGGTGTCACCTGATCCCTCCTTCGCCCTTGACGCATGCTTATTTATTTTTCAGGGCCACCCCGTTACCAGCTGTAATTTGCGCTTACGGCCGCCCGTTACTGCTTCCTCTCTCGTTAATCCAACTGTGCAATTGTCACCTCCACCACACTGTTCTTGCTCCGTGCCAAAAACTCTGCAGAAGTGTTATTCCACAGGGGCTGCGCGACTGCACTGCACTCGGTAACCATCCTGACGGTTTTTCAGGAGTTACAAGGAAGGGAAACGCGTCTCCGCTTTCCACTTTGACTCACACGCTCCAGACTACGAGGTGCCTCGCTGAGGCAAGTAAAATTGCAGTAAACATCTCCTGAAACAAAGCTTGTCCAGATTTGGGGTTTTGGGCTGGCTGCACCCATCTCTACTCGGCAAAGTCTCTTGGATTTTATACCGCCGAAAACCATTTCCACATTCCTATCTTGAAAAGTTGTGAGGCTTTTAAAATTTCAAGTGTTGGTGACTCCCACTGGTTCCTTCAGTGAGCCATCCGAGTTCTTTTATCCAAGTTTAGTGCCTGACGTAGCTGTTGTAACTGTGCGTGCACCAAACCCAAAGGGCAGCTGAGCTCCAGACCTCTCCTGCTTGAGGGCATGGCGCCAAGCACTCCCACAGCCCCTCTCCGTCAGGATGCACACGTCAACGGTGACGCCCCGTGACCCTCACTTGCCTCTGCAGGACACCAGGTTTCAGCATCTGAATCTCCTCCTTCTCACGAGTTATGGCAAATACTCATCCTGGCTTTCTTACGTGCCCAGAGAGCCTGTGGCATCTCCACAGAATCCCAGAATGGTTTGGGTTGGAAGGGACCTTAAAGATCCGGTTCCAACCCCCCTGCCATGGGCAGGGACACCTTCCACTAGACCAGGTTGCTCCAAGCCTCATCCAGCCTCGCCTTGGACACTTCCAGGGATGGGGCATCCACCGCTTCTCTGGGCAACCTGTCCCAGTGCCTCACCACCCTCTCCGGGAAGAACTTCTTCCTGATATCTAATCTAACCCTCCCCACTTTCAATTTAAACCCGTTACCCCTTGTCCTGTCACTACAGGCCCTTGTAAAAGTCTCCCCCAGCTTCCTTGTAGCCCCTTCAGGCACTGGAAGGTGCTATAAGGTCTCCCCGGAGCCTTCTCTTCTCCAGGCTGAACACCCCCAACTCTCCCAGCCTGTCGCCATGGCAGAGGGGCTCCAGCCCTCGGAGCATCTTCGTGGCCTCCTCTGGACTCGCTCCATTCTTGGAGACACCCAAAGCCCAGCCGTGGGTGGCCTGGGTGAGCCACCGTAGGTGACCCTGCTGGGCTAGAGACTCTCCAGAGATCCCTGCCAACCTCAGCTACCCACAGACATCCTGCCCACCCACCCAACAGGGCTGCCTACGCGCAATTACTCCGAGGGGACACCCGAGCTCTGCCTCCATGGGGACTGACTGCTTCCAGCCAGCTCTGAAGGCAGATTAAAGCAAGCAGCAAGTCGATGACAAATACCTGCTCCAACTCAAAACTCACCTATACCTCCTTCCAAATTCCCTGCCATGTCTGCAGCCGTTTCACGCTTCATGATTCAAATGAAATGATCTAACCCCTCCTGGACTCCTCCGGAGCGAGCAGCAGGCTCGGCCGTCTCCCCTCGCTTTGGCCCATTGTCTAGCGAAGCGTAGCCGTGCCTTGCCCTAAAACACGACGGAGTTCCAACGTGGCTCTCCGCCGGCGCCAGCAGAACGGCTGCTGGGAACGTCTGGCTGCAGAGGGTGCCAGAAAAAAAGTGCAATTCACACCCTCGCCTCGAATAAGCGACGAATTCAGCTCCTGTCCTGCTGCCAGCACCGGCTGGGGATGGTTTTTAAGGAATGCTTATGATTTAAGAGAATGTGGGCTATTATGTTTCTGGTAAAATGAAAGACTGGATAACAAATAAGCTGTGTGTTATTCTATGGGTCATTAAAATACAGGTTTATGATCCTTTTTAGAAGAGAAGGCTGCTTTAATTCAACACAGAAAACAGGTTGTCAAGCTACAGCTGTTTGGTGCCATCCAGATTTTTTTTTTTTCCCCTCTTAAACGGCCCTTTTAAAATTATAATAACATTTGCTGCATTAGGGTATCAGTAATTTATTTGATACACCAACTATTCTTTCCCCTCCCATCCCATATGATGAGTAATCTTTACATTTTTCTTAGGTTTTAATAAGCAACCTTGGGAAAGCTTGACTTTTGGAAGAGGACACCCCGTTCACTGCTTACTTGATTTGTGGGAGCAATATCCAGACTCGGAGCGCAGGCGTTGGAAAGGGGCAAAGCGCAGACAAGGGAGGCACGGGAGCGCACAGATCCGTGCTGCAGAACCGAGGCACGTCTATCGCTGCTCGTGCCTCGTTAGGACCACAGCAAAATGCTCTCCTCGTGCCTCCTGCCCGGAGCATCTCTGGGCTGAGCAGCACGGGAGGATGGGAAGGGGGAGTCGTGCCAGCTACCAGACACGTAGGAAGTGGGGATTTGCAGGATAGCGCTCCCTCTTCTGCCCGAGCCTGAGGAAATCTCTCCCAACAGCCAGGCCGGGGGTCTGGACACAGCCATGCCCTGCACACCTCCAGCCCTCCCCCCAGCTAAATACTCCCAAGCCCAATGGCTGCGGCTCCAGCAGGAGTTCATTAATCGCACATAATTAAACAGCAATCACACTGATTTATCAACTGCACGCAGACCTAGATACTCCACAGATACCTACTCCACGACCAGGCAACTGCTAATTTACTGTAGACACCAAGTAAATTGGATTTGCCGGACTATTATCTCCTCCTGAGACACTGCAGAAAGGGCTCTGCGCAGCAGCAGCATACTCACAGTTTGTAATTTTACTTTTAAGTGAAAGGAAATCCTCTCAGGTTCTTTTAACTTGAAGTCTTACGATAAACAGTGATCTAAAACGAAGAGTACAGGTGATTTCCCCCAAAAAGCAAAGATGCAGGGGGCTGTTGACACATGCAAGAAGATGTGACACGTTTGACTCCCTCTGTGATTCCACTGCCCAAAAACCTATTAAATGTCTTAATATTCCCACAGCAGCAGCAGTTGGGAGAATAGCCTCCTTCGGAAACATTTCATTTTGCAGCTGCCTAAATACATCAGCTTTCACCTTCTACTAGACAAGAGTTTCCACTTAGCCTAAAAAACTTTTAATGAGTTTGCCCTTGGGGTATTTTTTTCATATTCCCAGTCTGAGTGTTTAATAAAACCCACCTCTTGAATAGTTAGAAAAGAAAAGCACGCACTTGTGACAGATCCTGGCAGCAGTTAGACTTTGGGTTTTTGAAATGTATGGTATTTTTTCCTTCCTATTTCTTTTTTTAAATTGGCGTGATCTGGGAACATAAGGGATGGGCTCAGAAAAGGAAACACACTATGAGGTGAAGGAGGATACGGATTGGGTCTGATCGATAAACCACACTATTACCAAGCTCCCCAGGGAACAGCAGCTCCGACTGTGGGTTATCCGAAGAAAGCCTCCTCTGAGCAGGCTGTAACGCTCAGTCTGGGACCTCAGCAGGGTTCCAGCGCTCCCGTCCCTTCCCTCCAGCACGCCCGGGAGCTCCAGAGGTGCTTGGGTTTCAGACCAGAAACGCAGCATTTGGCCGCACGGCTCTCGTTTTTAGGCAAAGCCTCTCGTTTTTAAGCAAAGTTGAAACAAAACCAGGCTTAAAACGTTCCTACCCCCGGCTCCACTGCTGGTTAGTGCCTCTGTCGCATCCATCAGGGAAGCCTCTACAGCAGATACGGTTTGCAAGAAAACTCATAACACCGCTCGAATCTGCCGACGACAATTTTTCAAGTAAAAAAATGGTCACTCCGGAAGACGGGGATGAAGAAACACTGCTGTGCCTGGGCCCTGGTGCCACAGCCCGCGATACACCCACAGGCCATCTTACCGCTGCACGCATATAAGCCTGAATGGTCCCGGTGACGGTGTCACCATGACATCACCGCTTCCCAAGGGGTCACCATGACATCACTGCTGCCCAATCTACTTGGACCATACATTTCAGCCCTTTTCTACCCTCCATATCTAGGACTGGGGAGGTAAAAAACCTGAAATCCCTCATAACGCACAGCAAGTTAAACCTCTCACTACAAGGAGGAACTGCGATTTCAGTACAGTTTCAATCCAGCAGACTGGGCTTGTTGGACAGCTTCCTGAGTCCAAACACGGCGTGAGTCGTGCTCCCTCGAGCTTTCAGTGCCTGTCTGCCTCGCAAGTTTTAATACCTTTATCGAGCGAAGCTCCAGCCATGTGGTAAAAGCTCAAAGCCGTGTCCACGTCGTTTATGTTCTTCAGAAATGTGAAGAAGCTCTCCACCTCCTCAAACGTCAGCCCCTAGGACAGAGAAAAGACGGTGACGGGAACAGGACAGTGACAGCACTTGGGTTACCAAGGACAGAGTGACTCGGAGCTGTAGCCAGAATTCACCTGCACATTAAAACACTCCTACCTTGGCACCTGCAGATATGAGTTGGCACCTGCCCTTTTGCCTCTGCTCCCCTCCCGGCCCCACCAGTCGTGCGCCCACGCAGGGTCAGCTCTGCTCACTGGCACAGTGGCCCGGGGCTCGGCTCACCCCGGGACAGGCACGTGCCTGGTGAGCGCTTACGGCCACACAACGGATCGTGACAGGCCGGCTGAACAAGCACAACACCCCATTTTATTGACCCATTCAACACCAGCACGACTGCATCAGTGCTGGGACAAGAGCTGCAGCCTCCAAACTCCCCCTCCGCAGCCACAGCCCGGAGCCAACGGAGGTAAATTATCACTGCAGCAATAACCACTCGGCTTTCCTCTGCAGAAGAGCTGCTGCTCCTCAGCAGCCCTGAGGAGAAGG